CACTTGGGGAAATCACACCTGTTTGTACTGCAGAGTACTCTCTCCAGTGTAATCTTTCATGTACGATGATTTTGGGAAATGCCCCTCTTGTGCAAAATTTCTTTTTGCTACAGTAGCAAAAGCTAAGAGTCTGAGGCAGCTAACTAAGTAAAAAGTAGAGCTGTCACGATTACTCGATTTTATTTAAAAGCATCGATTAAAATTTTCCTTCTTGATTACTCGGCAATATGGTGGAAGGTAGACTGCACAAGTAAAGAGTGAAAGCATCATTTGTGTGGAAGCACTTCACGTTAAAAGTGAATCAGAATGCAGTCTTCTGTCGGTACTGCAAAGCAGAACCCGAGTATCACCACAGCAGGACTGCAAAGCAAATACATCTTAAGACATTCAGGTTTAACGGACTCGCCCAATGATGAGAGATTAGTCAGATATGTCCCATTTAGCCTCTCGGAGTAGCCTAGCCTGTCATTGTCATCACTGACTTAATTTGTTGTGCTTATTCTGATTCATGTTTGCCAAAATAATCACTGCTAATACAAAGGTAGCTTAGCCACATCATTTTACGTAACGTACATAAGAACCAATTAACATATATCATATTTATTAACGTATTGCATGTTTTGACTAGGGCTGAACGAGACTAGAAAAAGATCATATTGCGATATTGAAGTTGAAAATTAACTATATAGCCAAATGTAGAACTTATCTACCTTAAACTTATCTACTAACAGAGTCTGTCAGATAACGGTGTTGCAGAGTTATGCCTACAGATACAAAGCTTTGCCGGCAAATCACTTTATTTTGCAAAATATTTCCATAGTGGGGAATACGAATGGCTTTTTGTGACCAGTTCTTGTTCGCCTTTCTCCTCTTCACTCATTTTTGCTTAATCTCTCACAAAAGCTCCACAGTCAATGAATCAGTCCAACATCTTCCATCCCCTGTACAGTTCAGTAGTTGGCCTTTTTGACAATTTACACTTTTTTTATTCATAATAGGCTAATGGAATAATTCATAATTGAACTGAATTGCCTTGGGACCAATGACTTGCACGCACAGGATTGCAGGATGTGTGTGTGTGTGTGTCTGTGCGGTCAAACTTTCAGCATGTAGAGGAGGTTCATTTGAAAGAAAATCCTGAACATCTCACTACACTGCTTGAATGTCCCCAAGGGCATTGTCTCATCCAAATCCAATACTTTTACTTAATTTAAATACTTAATTATATCTGAATACTTTCAGTATAAACACTG